CATGGCCTTCATGTCCTTGCATTGCTTCTCTTCTAAGTCTGAACTTCCTCTGATGGCTCTGTCATAGTCTTCATTGTAATTGCCATCAGACTGAGCTAAATTCTCTACCAGCTCCCATCCTTCTTCAACTTCCTTGTTCTGGAAATTTTCGTTGGATGCTGTATCCAGGAGCATCCGGATCTTTGGGAGAACTCCTCTGTAGAGAGTGCTCAGGAGTGAGGCTTTGGAGAAACCGTGGTGAGGACATTGATTCTGATATCCTCTAAAACGCTCCCATGCTTCACAGAAAGTCTCAGCATTCTTCTGAGTGAAGCCAGAAATCTCATTCCGGAGTCTTACAGTCCTGGAGTTGGAGAAGAATTTAGCCAGGAAGGCTTTCTTGCAATCATTCTAGGAGGTGATGGAGCCTTGAGGAAGTGATTTTTCCCACTGGTGGGCTTTGTCTCCAAGAGAAAATGGAAACAAACGCAACTTGAAGCCATCCTCACTGACTCCATTGATCTTAGTTAGGCTGCAGAGCCTATAAAACTCGTCCAGATGATCGAGTGGATCCTCCATGGGGAGGTCGTGAAATTTGTTGCCCTGAACCATGGCAATGAGACCACTCTTGATCTCGAAGTTATTGTTCTGCACTAGTGGAGGCACAATGCCATTGCACTGATTGTGATTGCGTGGAGCATCACCCGCACCAATGTTGTTTGGCAATTCTGGGTTCTGATCGTCAGCCATAGTGTCTGTGTTTAACTGCTCTCTTAACTCACGAGCAATACGATCGATGTTCTCGTTGAAAAGCAGGTTCTGATGTCCTTTTGATCGAGTTTGTATACAACGACTATCAACCAGTGAAGCTGGTTATTGTCAGTACCTGGATCAAAACAGACAACAGGAAAAACACAGAGTTAGTAGCTTGAATAAAAACGAAAAAGAACTTGATCTTAAATATTCTGAAATCTCAAATATAGCAAACAAACACCCAAATGGCAACGGCGCCAAATTGATATTAGGTTTTTAAGACTATTAATCCTAAAGCACTATCATGTCGTTGTAGTACTGAAGGTTGTCAATCCAATCAGGTGTGATGCAAACAGATGAGATGTGATCAGAAGTCACTAAGTCAAGCCAAGCAATTGCAGGTTTTGGTGTTTCTAACAATCCTAAGTGATCATGCAGAAAGCAGGAAAAAAATGCAGAATTACAGAAATCACTCGACCACAACTGGCTGATGCTAGGAGCAGGATGTGATCGAGTGACAAGTCGAGTAACAGGCAGAAACTGCAACAAAAGCACTCTACCACACAGTCTGTTGCCAGACACTGGATGTGGTCGAGTGAAATGGTGATAACAGGTGAGAAATGCGAAAACGGGCAAGGATAACAATAAATCAATAGCAATGAAAACAGAGAAATCAATTAGATAAGAGATTCCTAAGGATGGGGTAATCGAATAGCGTGGTCTCCTTAATCTCTTTAAATGGTTTACAAAACTTCTAAGAAGCTATCCCTAGACAACAAGTTCGAAAGCAGATTTATTCACTACCGTGAAACAAATCCTCAAGCAGAGCTAGACACAGACCTAATCACCATTGGCGATCTCTAACTATGCAGGCAATATCGAATCAACTTGTTAAAGCCAATACTCGCTCTAAACGGCCAATCCCTTGGGATAAAGACGAGTATCTCAGGAATTAGTATATCAGACATTCCACCAAACACCTTTTGGGTGTGGGAATGTCTGGATTCATATTCCAGTTGATCAGAAAGGAACAAGCAATAAGCGCAACTAATCCAGAAGGGATTCACACAATCTAAACTCAATCATCTAAAAACGACCTAGGCAACCACGGCTACTCTATCCCATCCCCAGAAATACAGTTCACTACTCAGACATAATCAAAGACAACAACAACGAAACAATTGAAAACATCATATGACAGAAATGATAAGGGATCAAACGAAAAACTCAAATAACAAATACTTGAAAGTGAAAACAAAGTCGCAGGAACAAAGCGGCGAAGTGATAGAGTAACTAGGTTAAACAGAAACGAAAACTCGAAGCAAAAACTAGATGTCTCGGGACAAAACCCTCGAAGACTTATTTATACAAAGTAAAAATAAGAGATGGGTCGCGAATTCACTCGATCGGCCCATAAAGCGATAACGGGCCAAAGCTGGGCCTTGTGATCGAGTGAAACTCTAAACCGCTTCCAAACACTTCTTCTTCTCCTCTTCTCTTCCTTATGATCAGCTTGTCTGGTTGAGTGCGGATTTGAGAAGACTCTGAAGACGTGATCGAGTGAATGGTAGAGTGACGTGGTCGAGTGCTTCAGGAGTCCTGGTGCTGCGTCACTCGATCACAGGGTCGAGTGCTGTGATCGAGTGACCTGGTCGAGTGAATGAGGAGGATGGCAGCTGCTGTCACTCGACTGGTGTGGTCGAGTAGACCAAGAAGATGGTGGCTTCATTCACTCGACCACATGGTCGAGTAAGTGCTGCAGAAGGCACTCGACCTTGTGGTCGAGTATACTCTTCTGATTCCGGCTCGTTTCTTCCAATTTGATCGCCAACAGCTTCAAATCACCTGAAAACAACTCAGAAATGCAAAATGTATGCAAACCTATCCTAATCATGCAAAGTATGCAAGAATGATGAAGAATGATATCAAACAGTGATGAATGTTATGAAACTAGACTCAAAACAATGATGAATGAATGCAGAAAACATGCAAATTATAGACACATCAAACCGGACTGGTCTACCATCAATCATAGACCATATCTCATGAAAGTTATCAACTTTCAACTGATTTGTGAGGAATAGATGTACTTTCTTTGCAGCCCATGTGTACTCTAGTTCAGCTAGCTTAATAAACACACCTAGTGATGATTTCTCCAATTCATCCCACACATCAAGACCTAATCCTTCTCTGATTTGACCAATCTTGGACAGATAACAATTGTGGTTCATGCTTCTATGTTGCAAAGGTGATTTCCCTTCTGCATAAAGACGAGGAGGATATTTAAAGACATTACTCGAAGACGCCATTCCTGGACAGTAACAAAATAATAAATCAGCGTATAAGAGGATTAATGCAATGAGCTAATAAACAATTCAAAACAAATCTGATGCAAAAAGAATTAATACCAAAAGAGAATAAAGTGTTAAAACCTATTTCAGATTCGGGATCCTATTTAGCAACTCAGCCCTTATTCATTCAATTCCTACAGGAAAAAAGAAATCAAAACTTGAGGAAATCGCTTGATTATAATATTAGACTAAAAAATACTAATAGTACAAAACACAGCTATGTACCGTGAGCTTTGAATCAACAAGACTGATATTATCTTTCTTCTGCAGCAAAAGAAACAAAAAAAAATCAGTTAACCACTTAAAAACAATCTCAATTCCACACTGAAGAGATACAAACTATAAATGTTTACAAAACAAAAAGCATAAGCCTGACATTGTAGACAAATCATACTCTAAGATTAATGAAAAATGTTGTTATCTATGTCGATAATAAAAAAAAAACAATTGCAAAGACCAAAACCACAAAACCATCAATCAAAATCACCAGACATATCAATTCTTTCACCACCTATGGGAGAATCATTCCAACAAAATCTAAGTCCAAAATCTAATGAGATACACAGTTATAGCCCAAGATCTAACAAATGTAAGAAGCATTGCAAATAAATCAACTCAACATACAATGAAATCTGAAACTGTTAGAAACTAATGAATTGATCCACAAATCTGTCACTTACTCTCTAAAATGGAACAAAACTGTGGCAACTACAATAAAAGGTCACAACTTTAAGACTATAGATTCATGCCCCTATGAATTTTAATCAAATCAGTGATTCAAGTTAATAATCATATCAAGTGAGTAACTAATCTTATACAAATGACCTGTGTTTCCCTAATTATAATCCTCCAATACATATTTGGGAACAAACAGCAATCAACAGACAAGAAGTGACTTTAGTTACTGTACCCAATTTCAGTTTGCAGCGTTGCAAGTTCCGTCGCCAACGGTGAGGAAAAATGGTTCGATCCTAAGATTGATTTCCCTTGTTGCTTGAACTTGAACGTACAAGAGAGATGCCTCGAAGAAATAAGAAACGGATCGTGTTCTCCTAAAAAAATATGAAAAGTTAGGGTTTTAGAGAATCAATCAAAATTGCAATTAACACAAATAATTTCAACAATGAAAAATTAAACTAACCAATTGTCAATTGAGCATAAAGACGTCGTCGATGGAGGAAGAACGGTAAAAGTGATGGCCAATAGCTCTGATTACACCGGAAAATCGAATGAACAGACGATTATAGGATGAGACCTCGCAAAGCAGAAACACAGATACTCAAGCGGCGGTGGCAAATGAAGATTAGGGTTTAGGGGAAACGCCGGAGATGACGGGAAGACATGGAAGTAGCCGAAGACACCGGAGAACCAGAGAAATTGGCGGTGGGTTCCCCAGAGAAAGAGCACCGTCGTTCGTCTATGGCCGCTCTTCTCTAATCTTCAGAGTTTGCGGCTGTTTTCTTCGAATCACCGGTGGAACTCAATTTGCGGCGGATTCGAGCCTTTGACGGAGTCCCGATTTCAATTCCAAGTCTTCGTCGGAGTGAGACGCGTTTGCGGAAGGCTGAGAAAAAAAAAAGAGAAAGTCGTAAATATTAGGGTTAGGGAAGTGTTTTTTGTTTTGTTTGTGTTTTGTAATTAAAATTGAAATGTCTTATCTGATTGTTTGAATTTTTTTTTTCTTGAGACTATTACAATTAAATTGGGTTTTTGGTCATTTAACACAAATGTGTGTTAGTCTAGTAAACTGAAAAATCAGAGTGTTAATCTAGTTATTAATCTCTAGATTTGAGTCAATCTGGGTAATTTTTAGTAAAAAAAAGTCAAAAGAAGTCTATCCACAGACACATTGAAATCAAAAGAATCTAAAAAGACAAATCCTTCGGGTTACGAAGGAATAAAGAAACAATCCTGAGACTATCTTACACAGTTAGCTAAACCAGAACAAAGGCTAAAATGATCCCATGTTCTACAGTTGATGATACCACCTTTAGTTAGATCCATAAGCACCTCTGAAGAATTTTCTGCCTCTCTAGAAACCGTCCACATATAGACTCTGATGCTTTTCCACATGATCTTTTGCATCACACCGAATCCACCACTTATAGGATCCTTTGTCCAAGCATTACCTTCCATGATTATGGAAGTTGCTAGTATTTGTTTTTTTTCTTCGGGAGCATGCCTCATCATCTTAATGATATTTGGCGTGCCAAACAATTCATTAGCACTTTCATATTGACATTGCCTAAAATTAAATAAAATTAAATAAATTAATATCAAGTAAAAAGTTTAGCAGAAGATAATAGTATGCAAAAAGTAAAAATAAAAAAAAATACAATTTATATGGAAAATATTTAAAAAAATACAATTTATATGGAAAATATTTCGCATATTCGCAGTTTTGGGGACAATTTTTGTTTCTGGTGATACATACAGAGTAAGGACGAGGGTTCCCTAGAGGTTCCATAACAATTTGTTCTTTTAGAAATAAAAATATATTGATTAAGTAATTATAAGATGAATGAAAATACATTATCAAATAAGTATTTATAGATAATATTTACAAAATGCAGTCAAAGAAATTTATTAGAGATCCAAATATGAAGATGTGCTTCAAAACTCAATAAATTCATTCATTTTGTTCTGTTTTAGAAATAAATTGAGATTACATTTGACTTTAAAATTTTAATGTTATAGATATCCTAATTTTTGATATATATGGACAGATGGACTAACCATCCAATCGTTGAAATCGAACTATTTCTAATCACATAAGTAATTAGACAAAAAAAAAAAAAATTTGATAAAATCTATTCCTATTTAATAATAAAAAATCTTTTAGTTACATCAGATTCTTCATCTTATCATGGTTTTAATTGTTTGATCTTGAACTTCACAATATTTTTAGAAGGCATTAAAGTCTTTTAACCCAAATTCATAAATCGCCGAAGGGTGGATGAGGAAGGAATGTGAGATTTTTGTAGATTTTTTGTAGATATAATGAGGAATGTCAACCATTTAACTATCATGACTTTAATTAGCAACATCATCAATGTGATTATCGGTGCAATTTCTTATTAGTAATTACCAAGATATACCAACTTTGTTCCAGAACAAAAATATTTATAGTGGTTTACTCATATTTGGTGTCCATAAAATAACTCAATTACTATAGTGTTCAACTATAATCAAAATTTTGTATATTTTTATCGTTCTTTGTTTATCAACGTTATTCCATAAAAAACAATTTTATTTATTTTATGCTTGTTATATCAATTGAGAGAGAGAGAGATCGTATAGATAAAAGTTAACTTAGACTTTCAAAAGTTAACTTATCAGAGAGAAATGGGGGCTTAGACTTTCAAAACTATTTTATAAAAACTATAATATTCACACTTAGACACTCAAACTATGTCAATATTATATAGTTATGAAAAGATCAGTCGAGAGCATGACCGTGGAAGAGGAGAAAGAGAATGTTTAAGACGAATGAATTTTGATCTTTAATCGGATTCTGAGGGTTTGGTTGGTTTCTTTAAATTTCAAAATCTCTCAAGACATTTAGAGACATGCTATGACTCAATAATAGCAAGGGTCTCAAGATTTTAAAATGCACAAGAGAAAAGAAGATGGTGGAGAAGTAATCGGCTAAGGAGGAGAATGGAGATGTAGTGGTTTTTTGGTGGAGGATGAGATGAACTTATAGAGATGAGAGAGCTAGCTAGCAAGAGTAAGGTTACAAAAAGATGGCGAGAAACTGTGAACACGAGCAGATTATCTCTCATAAATTTCAGATTACGCTCTTTGCTTAATATACTTATTCAACCTAAAATCTGTAAACACGATAAATAAAGAAAATATAAATTTTACCTAATAATCCTCCTAAATCCCATAATAGGAGGCTACTCTAAAATTTTCAGAATTTTCGAAAAGTTGACAAAACAATAAGATTTCATTTTTCCTTAAATCTTATAAAAAAGACAATAATTTTTTTCGAAAAATGAAATCTTATAAAAAAAAGACATTAAAATTTCATAAGAGAGTTGACAAAACAATAAGATTTCATTTTTTCTACTTTAGGAATAATTTGATATTTCATTTTGACTTCACTATTCAATGTATTTTTTTGGTATAATTATATATGGTAATCTTCCGCAAGTTGATAGGGTGTCCAGAAGTAACAAAATTAATATTTATATTTAATAGCCATATCTAATTCTTTCGTTATAATTCTCTTCTTCAAAATCAAATCAGAGAGAGAGAGAGAACGAAAAAAAAAAGAATGGCTAATCTTCGTCTAATAATCACAGTTTTGATTTGTTTATTCTCGAGCACCAAATCATCAAACGTTATTAAAATTGATTTACCTAAATCCCTTAACCTCACCCTCTCCACTGATCCTTCCATCATCTCCGCCGCCTCTCATGACTTCGGAAACATAACCACCGTGACCCCCGGCGGCGTTATCTGCCCTTCCTCCTCCGCTGATATATCTCGTCTCCTCCAATACGCCGCGAACGGAAAAAGTACATTCCAAGTAGCGGCTCGTGGCCAAGGCCACTCCTTAAACGGCCAAGCCTCGGTCTCCGGCGGAGTAATCGTCAACATGACGTGTCTCACTGACGTGGTGGTTTCAAAAGACAAGAAGTATGCTGACGTGTAAACCCTAAACCTTAAACTCTAAACCCGAAACTCAAAACTCGAAACCCTAGATACAACAATCATTATGCGACATGGCATCCATAATATGTCATACATAATAGTCAACAATAATAGTGGCGATTGATTGAGATAAGTGTGAGAAGTCATTGACACAAAAAATATTTTTAAGGGATAAAATAGAAATTATCCATATAATCTTGAACATATGACAGTCTCTTATTATTTTACATCAAAATTTATAACACAATCATTTCGAATTACCGACCATACACGCACATCCACCGAACTCTGACCACGTGGTCATTTCAATCTAGGTCTAATTTACTTCTTCACTCTTAAAAAACATGTTTTCATCTCTATCGAAATAGTGGCTTCCATAATATTTTTTCTATACATGATCATTCATAAATTCATAATACATAATACGACAACCATAATATTTTTTCTATACATGATTATTCATAATGCATAATACGATAATCATTATGCGCTATCCATAATGTGGCATCCATAATATGTCATACATAATAGTCAATAATAATAGTGGCGATTGATTGAGATAAGTGTGGGAAGTCATTGATTGAATTTTCACTTAGAAGTTTGATGGATCTGAAGATGGAGAAGCTTGTGGTATCATAACAATGATGTAATTTCAGCAAAATTTTGTTCGATTTTAGAAAAAGGATGGGATCTGGACAGAGCATATCATGTTGAAGATAATCGTAGATATCAGCACGCTAAAAAAACTCCGATAAAGCATAATCTCCTTTTGAATTATCGACCGTCCACACACATCCACCAAACTCTAACCATGTGGTCATTTCAATCATTTCGAATTATCGACCATCCATGCACATCCACCAAACTCTGACCACGTGGTTTGCATAATAGTAATTTGCATACAAATGAGAAGGGCAAAATAGTAATTTGCATACAGATGATCCTTTCCGTGAAAACCTAGCCGCCTATCACTCTGCATTTTTTTGGATATGATTTTTTGTATTTCTTCCATTTTTTCATCATTTGCTCATGTGTTTTAATGAAAATTGCACAAAACTACACACATCCACCAAACTCTGACCATGTTGTCATTTCAATCATTTCGAATTATCGACGAGCCATGCACATCCACCAAACTATGACCACGTGGTTTGCATAATAGTAATTTGCATACAAATGAGAAGGGCAAAATAGTAATTTGCATACAGATCATCATTTTCATGAAAACCTAGCCGCCTATCACTCTGCATTTTCTGGATATGATTTTTTGTATTTCTTCCATTTTTTCATCATTTGCTCATTTGTTTTAATGAAAATCGCACAAAACTACCTTTAAGTTACAAATTTATAATAAGAATATATGTTAAAATATTAAAGCAAGGCTCTTGATAAACAAAATTTTAGCTTGACAATTTAGAGCTACCGAGAAGCATCTCCAATAAGAAAAATTAGGTCAAAAGCTAAAATCTCAATCTGAGCAGGTGAATGTGGATTACAAAGAAAATTACATAATGAAATGTGAAAAAGTAATACCGACGGGAGAACACGAATCCGCCGCGATGTCATCACAGATGCACTGAGAAGCGGATCTCCACAACCCAACCCTGCCAGAGAAGAAATAGGCTCACCACTCCTTCACCAAAAGAGCCCAAAAACCAGCTTTTAAAATCTGAGAAGAGACAAAAAAACAGAAAAACCTAGATCTATTTTTTGGTGTTTTTGATGAGAGAGAAGAGAAAAAAAGTATGGAAAGATTGTCTTTTTACCAAGAAAATATTGCAAGTGTTTTGTATTTAATTTTGTAAAGTGGAGAGAAAGAAAAATGAATGAAGAGAGAGAAATAATAAATGTTGCAAACCATAGTTAGTTTGGATTGGTTAGGTTGGCTTGAGGGTGTAGTGGTAAAATTACCAGCAAAATAAAAACCTACAACTACAAGCCTAAACAAAATTTCGAAACTATATAAGAAATCATGGCCGAAACCTTTCTTAGGATACAATCTTACTCTCTAAATTTCCCAAACCCAAATTTCACCTCAAGATTCTGGTTCCCTTTCCTTATATTAAGAAACTCAAACATCTCGAGCTTATCTTCATTTTTCTTTTCTTTTTATCTATTTTCCTCCTAAACCTTGATATACGTTTCCTTAAATTATCCTCCTTCAAACATGTCTACATGTTCTCCCAACTCCGGTTTCATCAGACTTCATGCAACATTGGTTTTCATGCAAGAAGTACTCTTCTTCTTTCCTTGAAGGCCAGTACCATTTCCTCCTCGCACTCGGTGCTTTCGTCTCCTTTTCTTCAGTTTTTGTCTCGACCCTTTACCATAAATCGTTTTATGCGTCTCTTGTCTTCTCGGTCTTGGTCATGTTTCATGAATTTCATAAATATTTAATACATCAAAAAGTAAAATTACAAATACTCTAACTTAATTTCTTAAAACAAATATATTTAAAATATTTACAATATCACCACCAGAGATAAAGATCGGATCAAGTCATTGATTTAAAAAAAAAAAAAAAAAAAGTCAATGATTTGGGTTTGTCACGTTAGTTGCAAACGTTAGCTGCTCTTATTGGATATGGATTCGTGATGGGCCAATAAATTGGGCTTGGGAATGTGGTGAGGGGATTTTCAGAGTCGGTACAAGATGGGCCGGACACAGGGTTTTAACCCTTGACGAGAGTCTCTGTTGGTACAAAACAAAATCACACCGCGACCCTACACCGCCGTCTCTCGTCCTTCCAGAGCCACAGAGTCTTGACAGATCTTTCTCTCTTATTTTCTCCTTGTTCATCTCCGCCTTAACGATGTCCGGTAAGATCTATATATCTTTTGCTCCAAATTCTTTGTTTATTTTCTCCCGATTACAATTCTTGCATCTGATCGATCTGTTATGCTAATAAAAACTAGCGGATCTAATCAATCGTTTTCTTACGTTTTGGAATTGTGTTTGTTTCGTTTGTTTACACTCGCAGATTGTAATTTAATTATTATTGTTTTTATTTTTTTTTGTTTGAAGGAGCTTCTTTGTCGGTTCGTGAGCGTGACCATGGCATCCACTTTTATTTGGATATTGATTCAAATCCACTACCCGAGAAGTTTAATGTCCCTACGTTGTTTACTCAAATCGAAACATCCTTGAAGTTATACGATGCTGAGAAATTTCTATATCGAGTTGTGGCATATGGCGATTTTACCCCTTATGGCGGCGTAGAAGCTTTTCAAGTTCTTCGAGGTAATATTTCTGAAGACAGATTTAAATTCGTTCATTTGCCTACCAGAATCGCTGTTTGTAGAGACAAAGAAAAGAATTGTCAGAAGCAAAAACCTGGTAATATACATATCGATTTTGGAACCAGGTACATGTCAATTATTCTAAGAAATTGGGCATCTGAAGTTGCCATAATTATATGGTATGGAGGATTTTCATGATGTGTGTTAAGAAGAAGATCTTGCTTCAAGCAGATTGTATGACAAATCCATTTTAGCTGGAAAGGAAAAAAATTCAATCTATTAATGCTCTTATTGTCTTATTGATAAATACTGGTTTCCAAAATCGATATGTATATTACCAGGTTTTTGCTTCTGACAATGCGTGGGTTTGTCTCTACAAACAGCGATTCTGGTAGGCAAATGAACGAATTTAAATCTGTCTTCAGGAATATTACCTCGAAGAACTTGAAAAGCTTCTACGCCGCCATAAGGGGTAAAATCGCCATATGCCACAACTCGATATAGAAATTTCTCAGCATCGTATAACTTCAAGGATGTTTCGATTTGAGTAAACGACGTAGGGACATTAAACTTCTCGGGTAGTGGATTTGAATCAATATCCAAATAAAAGTGGATGCCATGGTCACGCTCACGAACCGACAAAGAAGCTCCTTCAAACAAAAAAAAATAAAAACAATAATAATTAAATTACAATCTGCGAGTGTAAACAAACGAAACAAACACAATTCCAAAACGTAAGAAAACGATTGATTAGATCCGCTAGTTTTTATTAGCATAACAGATCGATCAGATGCAAGAATTGTAATCGGGAGAAAATAAACAAAGAATTTGGAGCAAAAGATATATAGATCTTAGGAAAACGGGAGACAAAAATTCTCACATTTGTCGAGTACAGGTTGAAAATGCTAATCGTTTTATAAAAAGTAACATACTAACATTAGAAATAGCTTAAGTGGATCAAAATTCATCATGTGCTGTTTTCTTATGGTAAGGGAACATTTCAAATGCCAAGAGACCCTTTTTCGTTAGAGAATGACGATGGCAAGATCTCTGACCTAACTTTAACAAATTTCACAAGTCTTCCTCACATTTTGGAGGGACAAATTTCAAGATCCACCTACCCTACAAAGCCTTACTTTTTTTTACAGAGACTTGTCCAAATATAACACAGAGCACAAGAAGAGAATTCAACCCTAGTATTGATGATGATTTACCCACAACCTTTACGCAAAGATTTTACTTCTTAATCCATAGCATCTAAGAATTCATTATAATTGCACGAGAAGGCGTCAAAAGAGTACTCTAGATTGGCTTCAGTCCTTGATTTGTGTTGATTATTAATCGTTCTGATGGCGATGAACACAACAATCAACCATCTAGAGGAAAAACCAGCGAGAAGTAACTTTCAAACAACACTAAAAGGGTTTTGCCTATTGCGACATGCGGAATCGCCACGATTATAAACTGAAATTTCCAACTCTCATTTATATGCAACAAAAAACACTGTACTATCAAATCTAAGTACAGATACGTTACAACAAGAAAGTAATATCATCAATCAACTAATTGAACAACAGTTTTGCTCTATAATTTCAAAACCAACTGTGACCAACCAACATATAGACCATTTGATGCAAGAGCATAGTCATTATATAAAACCCATGGTCATAACATGATAAGTATTAAGACATGTACATAAGAATTTTGACACAGTATATAAAAGGGTGTAAGTCCGACTTTCACATATATAACTTAAACCCCTGACTTATATAAATTACCTGGCCTCTGCATCTTTCAAACAGACAAGATTGTCCTTCCAGCAAGAGAGTCGTCGTCAATCATCATCATCTTCTAGCAAGAGACTTAACTTTTCCTTCTCGGGTGGTGAATAACCAATTGAGTTCCTTCAAATAGGTCTGGTAAGTAACTCTCCAGGTCATCTGGTGTGTACTTTATGTATTTTCCAGCATGCCTACCACCTTCTAGTTGACTCCTATTCCTTCCGAAGAAAGCCCGGTAAGCCGGGATTACTTTCTCTGATATAGATATTCTCAGTTCTTCACGAAGTTGAGGATCCGGGACTTTCCAAGCCGTTTGAAGCCTGTATAACTCTTCAAAGCTGGCATTAAAACCTCTGAATCTCTCTTTTAAGGCCATCTTGGAAGAATTGTTGCTTCTTTGTCCATAACTCGGGCTACCACTTGAACTTCCACCCATACTTTCGTCCCTCAAAGCAGATAACACCCTGCTCCAGGAAGCCCTGAGGTAACCGGTAGCATATTGACGAATCTGCCCTCTTCGTTTTCTAACCCAATCATCACCCAAGAGTTTACCCAGCTCAGAATCCTTCACCTTCTGAACTATGTAGTAAATGTTGTTCATCATGAACACATGTTGCAGCCCACCATCTTCATACAACTTTGATTTCTCTTCAAGATTTGATTCCAAGGACGTAATCAACCCCAATATTCGTTTTGCAAGAGGAGACATCTCCTCTGTACTATCATCCCCAGATAAGCCATTTAACTCATCATTCTCCAGAAGAGAATTTAAGGTAGCTGCATAATCCACAATCAATTTCATGTAATTCATCACATAACGTATCATTGGATGAACCTCACCATTTGTCGTCGGTCTCTTCGATGTCTCATTCCGAACATTATTCTCAAACTCAACAAAAGTCCCCCTCGCAGCATCACCCAGTGCTTCCAACACCCCCTTGGTCTCATTACACACAAAGCAGTCAGTGACCATCACCTCTAAAGTCTGCAACACATTAGCCAACGCGTCATACATGTCCAGAATCCTGAACAACTTCTCTGATGATCTTCTACCAATAGCCACAGCCTCTCCAAAATTCAACATCTGCATCACACAGCTTTTAGTTGTCTCGTTAAAGCAGACTTCTTTACTAGACTCCGAACTGCTAAAGATCTCATCACATATCTTTTTCTCACCAACCAGAAGAACCCTAACAGTAATCTTCACAGCTTGAATCCACTTCTTCATCTTCTCATCCATAGACTTCCAATCAATCTTCTGAACTTCTTCTATACTCAGCTTCTCAACACCAAGAATCATCAAACATTCATCCAAAGCATCACGCCTCACCGTACTATAAACCTGAACACACTCCTTCTCATAACCAGCGCGAATCATCCGCTCCGCAATCTCCTTCAAATCTTCAACAGCAGTCGGATTAATCAAATCAACCCAAAGATCACAACCTATACTCCCTCCTCTCTCATGAAACAACCTCCTCCTACTCCCACTACCATCTCCATCAGCAACCAATCCAAAATTCTCAAAATCCTCAACCACATCACCATCAGCAAACGACAAAGAAACACGCCGCATCGAGCCATAGAGTCGTTCCGCATCTAAAGGAACAGTGTTACGAATCAAAATCCGTCTAAATTCATCTTCAAGCTGAGACATAGCCATCTGCAAAGCACTATCAGCTCTATCCACCATATCAGGCTTATTCTCCGACGAAAGATCCTCAAGTAAAGAGATAATCTCATCAACAGCTGAAAGAAACTCCGTAGCTTCCTCCGGAGATTCATCGAAGGAAAGAGAAAACGAAGAGGAACGATAGTTACCAGAAGACGAAGACGAGTGACGAGAAGAATCGTTACCACCATCCCAACGATGAATAACCGATTCTGCAGCCTCTAAACGCGCCACAAGAGCGTCGTTTTGATCCTCTTCCTGGTTCGTCATCGCAGTTTTGATATTCGATAAACGGTTGTCGAAACTGGAGAAGATAAGTAACATATCTTCACGAACCTCTTTTGGTGTGTTGAGGCTTTTCACGATCTGCTGCGCCGTCGCGAGAACACGGTCTTCACCTCCACCACCACCTCCGGCGTTGATACTCGCCGCCGTGGTTGTTGTTGCGGCCATCTGTGGAGAAATTGAAAAGGGGAAAAAAACAAAATTGAGAGGAAGGTGAATCAGAAAGATGAAGACATGGATCGTGTTGTGAGATTTAGAGATCAAACTTGTGAGAGATTGAATTGAAGAAGAAGAAGAAGAGTATATTTTTTTCTAGGGTTGGAGTGGAACAAAGACAGCGAAATGGAAGACAATGGGATTTTTTTTTTTGGTCTTTCTAATTAAAAAAAAAAGTCAAAACGTTTTCGTTGACCCAAATGTTTTTGGTGCCGGTTATTTCCGGTTTACTTCTCCTTTACGAATCACAAATAGACAGTAATGTTTTTGGTACTGGTTATTTCCGGTTTAGTCCTTTTTTTCCTTCTTTCTGATGCAAGGTAATTATGGTTTTGGATAGAGTTTCTAGACTGTTTCAAATTTAGTTCAAGGAGTTTTATTTAGACTGTTTCAAATTGGTTAGATTTTGGGATTTTTTTAATTGTTCAATATGGGTTTAGCTTTAGAATGTTTCAAATTGTATTAATTTTTTTTTTTTTTCTAAATATGGGTTTTGTTTCTCGTATGATGATTTTTTTCAAGGTTTTGTATTCCGATCGTAATCAAAATTCAGTTTTGTATTCTACTTTCAAACTCTGAACACTAGTTACAAAATCCAAACTCTCTACTAGAACCGGTCTAATTAGACTCTAGCAGTTTTAAAACGAACCGGACCAATGTGATTGATTTGATAGCAACATTATTGCAGTGGAGTCTTCCGGCGTATTGACGCTGTCTTCCGCCTACCATATCCAACGGTTGATATTTTTAGTTGACAATTTATCTCTCTCAAATCAATATCAATAAACGACAAATATATGTGTTCACACTTCACAGTTCACACTTCACAGTTCACACCATCAACATTCAATATTTTCGATACATATACATTTGTTATTGTTTATTCATTTTTAGCCAACACATTGATTTTTGTTTTGTTTTTTTTAATGGATATGATATGTTCTTATTCAGTTGAACAAAAGAAACAACTTTAACTTTATTGATAACAATGCTAAAAGAATCATAGAAACCATTACATGATCACACTATTTTCCCTGTGTTATACATATATATATATATATATATATATATAACTTTAGCGTAAAGAAACAAGAACCCATAAACAACAAAAGAACATGGAGTCTACTTCTACTTATGATGATTCACCAATAACCTCCACAAGAACACTTCCCTTCTTTGAAATGATGGAACCGGCTCGCGTCTCTCACTACCATCTCTCTTCCTGTCACCAGAGATATGAACTCAACTACCTTGTGGCAATCTTTGCATATCCTATGGTTCTGAGTTATCTGCAATGGATTCCATTCTGGTGTATTCATCAATCCATAAGCTATGGCAAGTTTCTCGCTGTGATATCGCCCTACTCGTTCTTCTTCCTTCTCATCCACGTCTGGTAGAAGGTTT